GGAGATTCGCTCTAAGGGGAGGAGGTCGTAGAGGTCAGATTCGGCTGCGACCTACGGGGCTCGTATTTGTCACGGTTGAGGACGAGAGTGGAAAGTATTCTTTTCAGGAGAGCCAACGAAGCGGCAGCGTTATCAAACGAATGTTGAGCTCCGGCGTATCTTTGTGTGGAGGTGCGTGAACGTGTGGATGTCTGTGTGTCCAGGTGTGTATGTGGACGTGTGTGTAGGGGGGGGATGTAGTTGTGTGTGTAGGTGTATATGTCCTTTTGTGTGTAGGTGCGTGAACGTGTGGATGTCTGTGTGTCCAGGTGTGTATGTGGACTGTGGGGGGGGGGGGGGGAGTGTAGTTGTGTGTGTAGGTGTATATCTGTTTGTGTGTAGGTAATGTGAATTTGTGTGTATGTGGACGTGTGGATATTTGTATCTGTGTGTGTGTAGGTGTGTGTGTGCGTAGGTGTGTATGTGTAGGTGTGTCTAGGGATGAGGAGTGTAGGTGTGTGTGTGTGTGTGTGTGTGAGTGTGCATGTGTATGTTTGTGTGTATATCAAACGAATGTTGAGTTCCGTCATGTTTATAGGTAGGTGGCGGTGTAAGCGTGTGTCGGGTTGTATAGGTAGGTGTGTGTGTAGGTGTGTGGGGTGTAGGTGCGTGTGTGTGTGTTTGTGTGTGTGTGTGTGTGTACAGGTGTGTGTACAGGTGCGTGTGTAAATACATGTGGTGTTTGTAGGTGTGTCTGTATACGTGCGTCTATCCGTTTATATGTGTGTGTTTGTGAAAAGTTTATATATGTGTGCCTATGCGTTTCAGTACATAATTGCACGTGTGTGAAAATGTGAATGTATGCATGCTTGCGTACGTCTATGACAATTCTTCATTCATGACAATCCTCCAATAATTAGTCCTAGTATGTATCAAGAGAACCAAAGTATAAAAAAAAAAAAAAATAAAACCAAGACAAAATAACGTATTCATGTTGACAAATGTATAGAATGAATGTGTGAATGAATATCTCCTCAACACAAGAGATGTATTTAACCGGTTTCAAATCCATCTTCGTCAGAGATCATGAATTTCTGACGAAGGTTTAATACATCTCTTTGTATTGTGAATTATTCTCATTCGTACCTTATCTACAGTTGTCAACTTTCGTTCTCATTCAAACCTTTTTAAGTATGTGTAAAAGGGTGCGGGCAAGTGGGGTGTTACTAGGATCCAACACCGCAAGGATTACCAGGAATATTTCGAAATATTGAAACATTGACCCAAGTAGCCACATGTCAATCTTTCCTCATATCCACATGCCAACCCCTCCTCCCTATATTCACATCTCAACCCCTCCTTCCCATATCCTTATGTCAACCCCTCCTTCCCATATCCACATGCCAACCCCTCCTCCACATATCCACATGTCAACCTCTCGTTCCCATATCCACATGTCAACCCCTCGTTCCCATATCCACATAACCCCTCTTCTCCACATATCCCTATCGTTCCCATTCCATGCTGTTCATCCGTCCACCACATATCGGTCAACTAACCCATACCACATGGCCAACCCTCCTCCACATATCCACATGCCAACCCCTCCACATGGATCCTCCCATATTCCTCCCACATATCCACATTCGGGGATGGATCTCCACATATCCACATGTCAACCCCTCCTCCACATATCCATATGTCAAGCCCTCCTTCCCATATCCACATCTCAACCCCTCCTTCAACCCCTCCTCCACATATCCATATGTCAAGGGTCAAGCTCCTCCCATATCCACATCTCAACCCGGGGGTCTCGAGGCTCCTTCAACCCCTCCTTCCATATTCACATGGTCAAGCCCAATGGCTACCCAATTCCCTTGGAGAGGATAGGAACTCGGGAGATGGGAGAGGGGGTGGGAGAAGAGCAGGGGAAGGATAAGAAGGGGAAAGAAGAGGGAAGAAGGATAGGGAAAGAGGGAGGGAAAGGGAGGAGGAGAGGGAAGGACGGAAAAATGAGAGAGGAGTGGGGTAAGGGCAAGGGAAAAGGAGGAAGAGAGGGAGTAGGGTAAGGGAAGGAGGGTGATGGTGGTAGGGGGGAGGGGAGGGGGAAAGGGGGGAAGCTGACTTGAAGTGGGCATTGAATCTCTTTCATATTTTTTTCTTTTTTCTTTTTTCTGTGATTCGGGAAGCTGCCTCGCGTGTGATGTGTCAGCAACATTTGAACAATTCCAAGGATACTTTTTTCACTCTCTTATAGGTTCCCCCCCCCCTCCTCCAGACAAGCTCTCTTTGTGTGTGTCTATATCTGTGTAACTGTCTGTCTGTCTGTCTATTCGTTTATCTGTCTTTCTCCTCCCTCTTTATTTGTCTGTCAGTCTGTCCGACTATCTCCTACCCCTAAATTTAGTCTTCTACCTGTTTTTGCTTTTGTCTGTCTGTCTATTTGTCCGTTTCTGCCTCTCGTACTATTATTATTGATATTATCTACAACGACTGCTACTCTTAATATCTGTTATATAAT